GTCTAGTGTCTATGGTCTAGGGTCTAGGGTCTAGGGTTTAGGGTTTAGGGAGAATAGAGAAAGCAGAGTTTAGGCGAGATGGGGCTGCCTAAACTCTAAACCCTAAGCACTATTTCAGGGTTCGGCCTACCGGGACGCTCGATTTCACGACATGCTAAGCTACCATTCTTCCGCCCAGTTCCTCGAGGTTCGCGCTTGAAGCCCTAAACCCGGTTTAGGATCTAGGGTATTTAGGGAATGGGGTTTAGGGTTTAGGGTTTGGGGGCTTTTTGCCCTGAAGCCCTCAAACATCCTAAACCCCTAAAACCCCTAAAACCCTAAACCCTAAACCCCTAAACCCTAGGCCTTTGGCTCAAGACCGTGGTGCAGCCCCAGATGGTGCCCGCGCAGAAGAAGGTGTAGGCGTAAGCCAAAGCGCTGACTCGGCCATTTGTATGGCTTTATTTTGGCTTCGGGGTTTAGGGTTTAGGGTTTAGGGTTTAGGGTTTAGGGTTTAGGGCTTGGGGTGGTAATTCGGGCTTGTAAGGCTTAGGGTAACTCAGCAAGTCGGTTTCTGGGTTGCTGAGTTGAAAGATACCATCCTGTAGACACTTTGTAGGTAGCAGGGCTTCCCTTTTGGGGCTTTACGAAAACAGGGGACCCCCAAAAATAGACGCCGAAATCGTAGGATTCAAAAAAAAAAAAAAGGACCCCCAAAAGGTACGCCCGAATGTCGTAAACCCCCATTTATGGTCGCAGAAGTGGCGCTTGTTAGTAGAGCCTTGGGGGAGTTTGAATTGAGCTTAGGGTTCGGAGTCTCCGAGATACTATTGATATAGGTTTAGGGTTTAGGGTTTAGGGTTTAGGGTTCAGGGTTCAGGGTTTAGGGTTTAACTAGGGCTCAGGGCTCAGGGTTTGGCGGGCTTCGAGGTTTGGGTTTTAGGGCTCGTGACTTTTTGGAACTGACGGAGGGGACCACGCGTCTTGGGTTGCTAGAGACCAAGTTCCACTGGTGCAATCAACGGGGGAAACACCGCGAACGAGCACACTCTCAAGCTACCCTAGCATTAACCCTAAACCCTAAACCGCAAACCCTAAACCTTGAACCCTAAACCCCTAACCCTAAACCCTAAACTCCTAAACCCTGATAGCATCCCAACAAGGGTTTCTTCTACAAATCCCGAAGCGCATCGTTTCTGATACTACAAGTAGCTGAGTTTCACCCCCCCCCCCCCCCCCCCCATACACAAAAAACAACCGGGGTTTAGGGCTACTTGGTGAAAAGAGTTTGTTTCAAAGAAACTAGCTCACAAGCCCCCCCCCCGTCCCGCCATGCCCGACTGACGATGGCAAATGCAGGCTAAATAGTAGCTTTCTCAGGTGGATCCTGCTCGTACGCGCGAGGCGAGCTCGGAAGTGAATATAAAAACAAAAAGACAAGAATCCCAAAGCCACTCGCATGACACACTCTTGAGCCCCCCCCCCCCGCCCCAAAAAAAAAGGACAAAAAAAAAGGAAAAACACAACCTTCATCTATCCCTAAAGCGCAAGTGGCCCAGGAAGCCCAGGAAAAGCTGAAGAACCTTGGTGACATGGGGGGGGGGGGGGCGAATTGCTGATGTCTTGGGGTTTGGGGATTAGGGTTTAGGGATTAGGGCTCAAAGAGTGAGAGTCTTGACTCCAACCAGCACCATTCCAGAGACGAATGTTCGGTCAAAGCTGGCGAATTAAAAATGGGGGGGGGGGGGTTGCAGAAAGGTTCAGGGTTTAGTTCTGAAGAGGAGTTAAGGAATCAGATACCTCATATCAGCTAGCCTTCCTAGAGGGGGCTAATCTTGTTGCTGTTTGAACCACTTCCCCCCGCTCCTTTAGCTTACGGGTATAGCTCCTGCTATGAGCCGTCAACCCCAAGACCTAACTGTTTTTGGACCCTGAACTTTGATAAGCAAATATGATCCCATATGAACCGAACGGTTTGTGATGAGCGGACCTACTTGGTGTGTGGCGCGGGTTTGGAGGCGTTATGGTGTGAAACTCGCAAGGCTCGTTCAGGATTTGGGGGCTTTCAGAAACGGCTTTCTTTGAAATACATGTTTTGGGGGCCTTTAACTAGGTGTGAGGCTTCGGGCTTGCACTGCTGTGTTGGAGGCTTGCAGAAGCTACCTTTTTGAGAACACATGGTTTGGAACTTTTCAGGCTTGAGGGTCGGGGCTTGCCCTGCTGTTTTGGAGGCTTGCAGACACTACTTTAGGGTTTAGGGTTTAGGGTTTTAGGGTTAGGGTATGAAACACATTTTTTGGAGCTTTTCACGCTTGAGGTTTCATGCTTGCACTGCTGTTTTGGGGGCTTGCAGGAAACTACTTGTATGGAAGTCAGGGGAGTGGCATTATGCTATGGGGACCGGTCTTTGTGCTTGCACTGCGGGAAGGGGTTAGGGTTTGGGGCTTGCACTGCTCGCAGGGCATAGGGTAAGGCGAGTAGAGAGCAGGTTTCAGGTTTTAGGCTTGTGCTGCTTGTGGAAACAATCAGCTTTGGCGTTCTCATCCCCCCACCCCACGCCCGTCCCACAAAAGATCGGACAGTTCAAGGCCGCGTTGCAAAGGCCAAGCCGATCAACCCAAGACAGGAAACACCAAAATCCTGCGTAACATGTCGAAAGTGACAAGTAGAACCTGGTAAACGCAACGTAGGAGCGCCAAAAGCCGGGACCGAAACAATCACCCTAAACTCTAGAGCCTAAACCCTAAACCCTAAACCCTAAACCCTAAACCCTAAACCCTAAACCCTAAACCCTAAACCCTAAACCCTAAACCCACACGCAAAAACCACTTCCGAAAGGCAAAGCAAAGCTGCGAAATCTGCCAACAAAAGCCAGGGGAAAGGGACTCTTTGAGTCGACGCATCAGTAAGTGAGAAATTCTAGAAATGCAAAAAGAAGTCAGAGGTTTAGGGTTTAGGGTTTGGGGTTTAGGGTTTAGGGTTTAGGGTTTGGGGTTTAGGGTTTGGGGTTTAGGGTTTAGGGTTTGGGGTTTAGGGTTTGGGGTTTGGGGATCGTGCGCTAGAGAAAGTGGAGGAACCCTCCCAAAATACCGCGAGCAATGGGAAGAAATGCAGGATGCAGCCCTTCCCGAATCAGCGCCACATTCCATCTATACTTATGACCATGTAACCCTAAACCCTAAACCCTACCTAAACCCTAAACCCTAAACCCTAAACCCTAAACCCTAAACCCTAAACCCTAAACCCTAAACCCTAAACCCTAAACCCTAAACCCTGAACCCGAAGCGGCCCTTAAACCCCCAGATTTCTCAGCCCAGCAGCCCATGAGCTGGTCGCCGCCTCCACCAGCTGCAGCACGCGGAGGAGCACCGGAAATGTTATTGGGAAGACGAGAAGCTGCGTCGCGAGGCAGCCTCTTTCGGGGAGCCCTTAAAGGGTTTAGGGTTTAGGGTTTAGGGTTTGGGGTTTGGAGTTTAGGGTTTAGGGTTTAGGGTTTAGGATTTAGAGGGTTTAGGGAAGCCTCAAGGGTTTACATGGGGTCTAGTTTAGGGCTAGAGAGGGTTTTAGGGTTTAGGGTTTACGGTTTAGGTAGGGTTTAGGGCTCTCAGTAGGGGAGGGCTGTAGTGACAGCTAGTAACCTTATCTGGGCTACTTCTCCCAATAACATGGCATGGACCTTCGAAGAAGGGCTGCGTGAAAAGAGCATGGCATCCAGTCCACAGGGCTTAGGGCTTAGGGGTCTAGGGTTTAGGGGTTTAGGGTTTAGGGTTTAGGGTTTAGGGATTCAGGCTTAGGGTTCAGGGCTTAGGGTCACAAAGCGCTTTAAGCCAAGAGGCTGAGGCCAAACGTCGCCATCATGTGATATTCGTTCGAAAAGCCGATGGTGGCGAAGTTTAGGTTGCAATCCCTGCTGGCGAACGGGGTGACCTCCGCGAGGTGGGGTTTAGGGTTTAGGGTTTAGGGTTTAGGGTTCAGGGTTCAGGTTTAGGGTTTAGGGTTTTACGGGGTTTATATCGGGTGCATAGGATGTGCAGGGTTCATAAGGCTTAGGGTCTTTTGAGGGGCTTCGGCTTAGGAGTTGGACAAGCTAGGGTTCAGGGCTCCGGGCTTGGTCTGGGTTTTCAGGCACCATAAACTGACCCCCCTTAACCCGAAGCCCAAACCCTAAACCCTAAACCCTTAATCCTAAACCCTAAACCCTAAACCCTAAACCCTAAGCCCGAAGCCCTAAACCCTTAACCCTCAACCCTTAACCCTCCCAGCTGCGTTGACCGCGCCGTAGAAGGACATGGGCAGGAAGCAGATGAAGCAAAGGTGCAGTGGCACGTCCTTCTGGGCTTTCTGTCTGCTTGAGCTCTCGTAAGGCTTCTTAAGGGTGTAGGGCTTAAATAAATGAATATATAGATATATATATATATATGATATGATATGTATAAATAAATATAAAAATAAATATAAATATAAATATGAAGATAAATGTAAATATAAATAAATAAATATATATGTATGTATATATATTGTAGGGTTTTGGGTTAGGGGCTGCAGTTTTTACCAGCTTTCCCTAAAGCCTAAACCCTAAACCGTAAACCCTAAACCCTTAGTCAATTTCTGCCGTCCTGCTCATGCCCGATGCTATCCAAGCACGCAGCGCGCAGGGGCCCCTGGACGTAGTTGTTGAACCTTTCGATCGCCTCCTCACGCCTGGCGCACTTGGGGTTTAGGGTTTAGGGTTTAGGGAGTCGGGCTTAGGGTTGGCGATCCTAAACCCTAAACCCTAAACCCTAAACCCTAAACCCTAAACCCTAAACCCTACCTGGGGAACCCTCGGGCTCAAAATAGCGCCCGCCGGTTGGACAGGCACTTTTTTTGCCCGTTCTGGGATTGAACGCCTGCAGCCCGAAATTCCGCCTGTAGCCTTTTAGGCCTCTGTGTGTCTCGAACCCTGATCGCGATCCCTCAGCCCTAAATAGCCATCTGAAGTTCTTGGCGTTGCCTTGCCCAACAATTTAAAAGGAGATCTGCTAGGGCAATCCTCAGATCCCATGCGTCTTAACATGAATTGGCTCCCCCACACAGCCCACATCCTGAAACAAGACTCTTTCTAGCCTACACCCGAAAACCGAAACTCTGTAAACCCTAAACCGGCACCTCCTGGACATTGTGCCGCGGGGGTGCACGGGTAAATACGCCCGTTGATCATGAAATTACGCCCGTTGTTCATGTAATTACGCCTGCAATGTTCACCCCCAAAAGCCGTGTTCAGGCCTAAATCTTCCCCCAAACTCCACAAAAATCACTCAAGCCGGCACCTCCTGGAAATTGTGCTGCGAGGGTGCACGGGTAAATACGCCCGTCGTTCATGAAATTGCGCCCGTTGTTCACGTAATTACGCCTGCAATGTTCACCCGTCTTCAGGCCTAGTCTTCCTCCAAACTCTACAACAATCGCTCGACTCCGCCTGCAAGCCTGCCCTCAAAGACGCCTGCAGCCCGAAAGTTGACAGACCTCCCCCCTGTGTTTCCTTTGATCAAAAACATGCTGGGACGACAACGAACCCCTCTATTTCCGAATCTCTCTCATTCGTGTGCTGGAACAATCATGTTGGAACGAATTCGAGACATTTTTGGCTTCATACAAGCACGTTGGAACAGCCTATTCTTGGGGGGGTCTCAAATAGGGTCCCATACTATCCTAAACTCGTACTCGCCTGAAAACATGCGCGTTTATGACAATACGCCTGCAGGCTATATTTTTGTCCGCAACCCCTTGCAGGCGCCTGTTTCCCAAAAGGCGGAAATTTAAGCCCGCAAAGGTTATGCAGGTAAACCCTAAATCCTAAACCCTAAACCCTAAACCCTAAACCCTAAACCCTAACCCTAAGGTGATTTGCGCAATGCGGCCCAGGTGCGAATCCTCGGCCTCAACGTGGTCCGAAGCAGGCTCCTTAGTAGCCCAGCAACCACATTATAAGAAGGGTTTAGGGTTTAGGGTTTAGGGTTTAGGGTTTAGGGTTTAGGGCTACTCTATAAGGGAACCCAGAACCAAAAAAAGGGTAAAGGGCACCGCTGACCTACCAAGGCTCCATGGCCCCTGCGACGATCACTTCGTGATCCCGCTCGGCCTGGAAGTGTAAAGCGACCTCGACGAAGGGTTTAGGGTTTAGGGTTTAGGGTTTAGGGTTTAGGGTTTAGGGTTTAGGGTTTAGGGTTTAGGGTTTAGGGTTTAGGGTTTAGGGTATACTGATTCCGCCCCCCCCCCCCAAACACATCACGAAACGAATATAAAGCAAACACGAGGTCCCCACGTCGGCAGAGTAGGAGTCGGGGCGGAAACTTGAGCAACAAATGCTGCCCCATTCGAAATATGAATCGAATTAAAAACAATCGTGTTCATGAATAAACGACATAAAAAATATCCGACCTCGCCCTACTCCTCCCCCCCACCCCCCACGCCAACACGAACAACAAAAACACACCACACAACCATCCCCTAATCCTTCCCTCCCAAACATTTTTGTTCTGACATTTAAAACTCCACACGTTTCGTGCTCATCAGAAAATAGAACCACCCAGCTCCCCACACGAACGCAAAATATTACATTTTGTCTCCAACCCAAACCACCGAATCCGAAAGCGTACAACATCTTTTCCCAATCCCACATCCGCCCAGCCACCCAACCTCCAATCCCCCCACCCCCCCCCCAACTCCACACATGATTTTTTTTCCAATACAATCGGAAAGAACCCCCCACCCCCCCCCCCCCACCACCGACCCACCCCCCTACTCGCCCCAATCCCACATCCATCCACCCACCCAACCTCCCATCCCTCCACCCCCCCCCCATCTTCACATAATATTTTATTTTTCCAATACATTCTGGAAAAAAAAACACCCCCCCCCCCCCCCCCCCCCACCACCCACCCAACCCCCCCCCCTACCCCCCCCCCCCCCATACCCCGCCCCACCACCCCCTCCCAACCCAGCTCCACCGTCTTGCATGCTTTAGGTCACTGATTACATGACGAGGCATTTGGATACCTTCACCGAGTCCTGGTTACTCCCGCCGTTTACCCGCGCTTGATTGAACTTCATCACTTTGACATGCACAGCACTGGACAGAATCACATCGCACCAACAACTTCTGAGGCCAGCGCAATGCTTTATTTTAGTTAAACAGTCGAATTTCCCTTGTCCACTCCAGTGCCGAGACGGTTGGTTCGCTGCCCAGCGAACACGCCCAAGAGCATTCCATGTCCGGTAGTCCTCGCCATGCAAGATTCCACTCTCCACCAGAGGCGTCAAGTAGCTTCTGCTCAGCTCAAACGTCAAAACAAGGAGCCCTGTGCCGGTGACCATGAAGACATAAATAGAGCAAACAAAAAAAGGAAGCCTTGTACCCTCGCAGCTCAGCGTTGGCTTTTGCCTCACACGAAAGCAAACACACCGCACGCGAACGAACGCCCGCCCAAACCTCTCCGTCCCTCAACGAGTCCCATCCAGTTACCATCCAGGCGTTCCATCCTGGTCTACGAGCTCCTGGTGCTTCTGCTTTTCCGCTTTCACCCTCTCCTCTGCCTCCTGCAACCAAGGACTGCACACACACACACACACACCCACACTCTTTGTACCCTCCCACCCAAAGCACAGTCCTTTCGCTCTCGGTTCTGCTGGTTGCGGACTCGCATGCCCTTGGCAGATACACGTTTACACACGTTTGAAACAAGACTAACAAACAACACATGACGAGCACAGCAAATTGAGAACCCCACGCAATACCAGCAAAGCTGGCCCTTTCCGTCCTTCCTCTTCTTCGGCTTGGAAACGTAGACATTGCACTCCGCGAACTCAGCCAACGACTACAACCACATCCCGTATCATCACTATCTCCCCCGCCCCCCACTCCTTTCCCAGCCCTCTGAGACGAGAACATTATCGCACTCGTAGGCCTTCCAGGCCTTCCACGAAAAAACAATAAAATACCAAATCGTTGCTCCCACACGCATCATCCACGTACTCCTGCCTCTGCTTCAGCGGCCTCTAGCTCTGCATACCAAATCGTTGCTCCCACACGCATCATCCACGTACTCCTGCCTCTGCGTCACGGGCCTCTAGCTCTGCGTCACGGGCCTCTAGCTCTGCAGCCCCGGCCTCCACGCAAACATGCATACGGCAACCACGCACACGCAAACACGCCATACCAAATCGTTGCTCCCACACGCATCATCCACGTACTCCTGCCTCTGCGTCACGGGCCTCTAGCTCTGCGTCACGGGCCTCTACCTCTGCAGCCCCGGCCTCCACGCAAACATGCATACGGCAACCACGCACACGCAGACACGCACACACATACACGCGCCCTCCCATACACATCTTCCAAGAATTGCCTTAGCAAAAAGAAATCACGTCAATTTCCCCCACGACACCGAAGCGCGCCTTCCGCTTCACGCGCCGCTTCGGCGCTGCGACCTCCCAACACAAGTAAAACGATTTTTTCGTTGACCTCTCTCCACACAATACATTTGTAGCACACGCCGACACGCACGAGCACGTAGTTTGGTTTCGGCGCACCTCGGGCGCAACCCTAACAGCGGCAGCAGGGCGCTTCACCATGGCCTCAAGCAAAAAGTTAAATATTTTTCCCATTTCCAACCCCCCGCATGCCTTCCCCTCCCATTCCTCCCCAGCCGAGTCCCAAAACCGAGACTTCATGTCGCCAAAACGCTAAGTATCCTAAACCCGAAGTCCCTAAGCCCTAAGCCCTGAACCTGAACCCTTAAACCCTAAACCAGCCCCGTGAACTCCTCGGTCGTGGTGAGGTCATTTGTCTTACGGGGACCCTTTGGCCCTAAGCCCTAAACCCTAAAACCCTAAAACCCTAAAACCCTAAAACCCTAAACCCTAAAACCCTAAAACCCTAAAATCCTAAAACCCCAAAACCCTAAAACCCTAAAACCCTAAAACCCTAAAACCCTAAAACCCTAAAACCCTAAAACCCTAAACCCTAAACCCTAAACCCTAAAACCTTGGGGCCACCTGCTCTTCCACCAACGGCCGGTCGGCTTCCACGGAGCACTTGGCATTCTTCCTTACAAGCCAGTGCACGCAGCTTAGGGTTTAGGGTTTAGGGTTTAGGGTTTAGGGTTTAGGGTTTAGGGTTTAGGGCTTAGGGCTTAGGGTTTAGGGTTTAGGGTTTAGGGCTTCAAAGCCCTTCCCGAATCGAGGAGCAGATCAAAGCTGGCCATCTGCTCGAGCATGAGCCGGTGCCCCTGGATCCTTGGTAGCCCAGGAACATCTTATACTAAGGGTTTGTTACGGGTTTAGGGTTTAGGGTTTAGGGTTTAGGGGTTTAGGGGTTTAGGGGTTTAGGGGTTTAGGGGTTTAGGGGTTTAGGGGTTTAGGGGTTTAGGGGTTTAGGGGTTTAGGGGTTTAGGGTTTAGGGCTACTATAATATATTGGGCCTAAATAATTAGAACAGGGTTTTGGGGGGTTATTGTTGTAGCAGTATATTCATAAAGGGACCAGAAGGGAATAATCCTATGATAAGGGGACCCTTTTATGGGTTTAGGGGCTAGGGTTTTTAAGGTTACTTTATACGAGACATCAGAGTAGCCCAGAAACCATGTTATCATAAGGGTAGAATATATGGGCCTTAATAATTAGAGCAGCTTTTGTTGTTGTTTTTTTTTTGGGCCGGGGGGGGGGGGGGGGGTTGTTGTAGTAGATTCATAAAGGGGCCAGAGGGAATACACTTGGTAATTATTGAGAGCCCTGTATCACCCGTTTTTGGGGTTGGTTGCTTTTGTACAAGGGAACCCCCTAAACCCTAAACCCTAAACCCTAAACCCTAAACCCTAAACCCTAAACCCTAAACCCTAAGGGCACCGCTGGCCTGCCAAGGATCTTTCGCTTGAAAGAGAGCATCGTGGGCAAAGCCACCGGGAGGTAGCACAAGAAACCTAGCATTCATGGTTGGGATAGTATTCACAATTTAAATTATTACTCCTTATTGGGCTTAAGTACCCTTAAAGATGAACAAATCTTATTCTTTATTGGGTTTAAGTACCCTTGAAGATGAAACATGTTACCCAACTATGACAAAGAAACGGGTATTCCTTATTGGGTTTGAGTACCCTCAAAGATGTGACATGTTACCCTAAACCCTAAAACCTAAACCCTAAACCCTAAACCCCTAAACCCTAAACCCACTATGACAAAGAAGCTGGGAAAGACCTCGAAGAACATGTGGAGGAAGAGCCGAATGTCCGAAGAGCCCCCGACCTGCGCCGCTCCCAACTTTGCGACGATGTTCACGTCTCCTTGGTTTAGGGTTTAGGGTTTAGGGTTTAGGGTTTAGGGTTTAGGGTTTAGGGTTTAGGGTTTAGGGTTTAGTGAAGAACTATAGAGACAAATCACTACACCAACTAAGGGGACTTTTGCACTGCACGGCTGCAGGTACATTCTCGATTTGTGCGTGTCGTCCATGAACATGTTGACCTGAGCGGAGGGGCCATGCTAATCTTCTCTGTACTTCCGACAGGCCCTCCTGAGCAGAGATGTCTTGCAGCTCTGATCACCATTTCACTGCAGAAACTGTACATGCCTGAAGAGATTGATAAAGTATATCTCCGTATCAAGCTTGCAGTGCCTTCTTGTGTGTGGTCTCTTGAAACATCAACCCAGCGAGGGTACACAAATGCAGAATCTTGCCCCATTCCAAATATTTAGTGCCCATATCAGCTTCGTTATCATCTGTGCGCACTTTGTGCACTGTGAAGTCGTCGCTTTGAATGCGCTGTTGGATCCACAGATAGCAACGTGATATATGTTTTGCTTTCCCGTGCCCACGACGGGAGATGAGCGATTTTGCTGCGGAAGCATCCATGTGGAGCTCTCCCTTCAACTCAAACCCGAAATCGGCGGCCATAGCCAAGGCACCTAAAAGCACCGAAGCTGCTTTCAAACCGGCGTAAAACTCCGACTCACCAGAAGACAGAGAAAGAACATGTTGTGTAGAAGAATAGCACTTTATAAGGTGAGAGCCATGGAAGAGAAAACCCGATGATGTTGACTTACGCGTCTCCTTGCAACCAGCGTCATCGCTGTCAGATTTGATGACAAACTTGCCAACCCAGTTCTGATCCGCAAAGGTCCAAACCAGGCGTGGTTTGCCAATGAGATATCTTGCCAGCCGCTTCAGCTTCAGCCAACTCTTCTCAGTGGGGCGGCTCATGTCGCGAGCAGCCTCTTTGACAGCATAGATGATGTCTGGTCGGTCCATACTCAAGTACGCAGCCCTCATGGTGAGACTGCGATACGTCTTCGTATCGTCTGCCGAAAGCTCCTTGTTTTCAAGACTTTGCTGCGCAACTCCAGGGCTGGAGACTGGTTTAGCGCCAAGAACGCCTAACTCGCGCAACAAGATCTGCACATGGCGAGGATCTGCTTCGTACGTGGTATGGGTGTCTTCAAAAGAAACGAGCCTATTCAAAATGGAGACATCTTTCAAATCGTCTTTGTCTGGCCCCAACATACCACCGTATTTGATCTCATATCTTGTCATGATCGCGTCTTTCAGCCAGTTCAAAGAAGCTTCTGGACCCAATGATGTTATATCATCGCCATGTACTGAAACATACAAACTCCTCAAAGCATTGACATAAATGACTGGGCTACTTAGGCCTTGGATAAAACCATGGTCCAAAAAGAACGACGTGATTTCCAACTCCCAGTTCTGCGCAGCATCTTTGCACCCGTACATGCTCTTGTTGAGGCGTGCGCATTTTCCAGGCTGTGCTTCTTCAGGCGGCAAGCGCACATAGATCAAACGCTGAACCTTCGCTGTCCAATGAGCGCGCTTGATATCAATGAAAGAAATCTTCATCTTCATGGGAAAGCCACCAGTTCGTTGCAAACTCAAAAGAAAACGCAAGCTTTCCAGAGGTGGCGTTGCTGCAAAATACTCTGCGTGAGGGTCGCGGCGAATCTCTTGCACAACAAGCCGGCTTCTGTAGTTTGGCCGGGCTTCATCTCCCTTGTTGATATCTATCCATCGCACACCAATAGGGGCAGCATTGGTGTTCGCCCAACACTCTGCCTCATCTACCACATCCCAGACATGATACTTGTGTGCAAAAGACAGTTCTTCCTCACGCGCCTTCACAACAAGCTGCGCGCTGAGAGGCTTGCCAGAAATCTCATCGATGAATGTGAGCCAGTCGTCTTGTGTGTCAGGATCAAACTTTAAATCCTCCTCTTGGTTGACGGGCCCAACTGCGAGGCCGTCAATACTGCCTCGCTTGGTGAGCTCATTCAACAGTCCCTCTAGGATGGCTATGCCTACGGCTCCTGGATACGGCTGCTGAGGTTGCAGGCTTTTCCCATGACCAGAAACTGTGGAGACTCGGCGACGCCAAGCCTTGGGACTGGGGCGGTAGAAAAACAAGGTCTCAATCTCTGCGTTTGGTGGCAGTGCACAGTACCATTGCGCATGATTGTGTTGCTGAGGGTTGTGAAGATCTTGGATAATCTCGCCAGTCTGCGTGTTGCGAATAACTCTTCGAACCACCGTGTCCCATCGAGGTCCACGCTTGCTCACTGTGACGGGTTGCCGTAGTCCAAAATCTGTCCGTTTCCACACCCTCAAGCTGCTTGTGGACACATGCTGTAAGGCACGAGCAATACATTCGCTGTTTGTAAGAAAACTCATCGGCCTCAAAACTAAACTGCAACCATCCCAATCAACAGTTGTAAGTCGAAGTCCACCTTGGTCCAAAGGCAAGCAAATCACCCGAGAATCCTGCAACAATGTGCTCATCGTTTCAGAATACCAACCTGAAGGTTCCCAAGGAAACTCGTGCACAAAATACCTGCCTTCATCCATCTGCAGCTTGTAAAACTCACAACAGTGTTTGAGATGCATCTTGACCTTCTCCAGTGAGTGAGAGGCGTGCGCTACGTCCCACGCCGAAAAGGAGCCAAACTGTGCTGAGCCAACCAACAACAACCGCTTCTCACAAGCGACGTTCTCTCGAAGCTTCTCCCGGTGGTCTTGGCGACTGAAATCCCAGTGAACGCCAATCTCATCTTCTGCATTCAGATCTAGGGCCAAACCTGATAGAACCCCTAACCCAGAGTCGAAAAGAACACGCTGAGGCGACTTGTAATCCTTCATCTTCTCTGGCATGTAAGCCTCAAGCAGACTCAAACAACCAAACTTCAAGGCCAACCTCCGACACGCATTGTCTTCATCACGCAACTCTGATTGCAGCGACAAAATGTCGACACACTTCTGAATTTCTACAGACGCGGCTTGTCGAGAGTCTTGCAAACTCCAAACTGGCATCAAAGCATCGATATCCATGAGGGGATCTTGAGGTGCCAGCTGCTGAGCCTCAGGGCTCATCTCAGCATCTGCAGTTTGGCCCTCCTGAGCAAGTAGTGGGTTTGAACCACCCTCTGCTGCAGGGAGCTCCACATGCACTTCACCGCCTTCTGCGGGTGGCACAAGCCTAGGCTGTTTTGCCGCTGGTGAACTGTCTCGCAGAAGCGGCAAGTCAAAACTTGGGACTGCAAGATCTGTATCCGCAGGACGCTTGTCTGAGCCTGCAGATTTCTGTGCAGCTTCCATGTCTTCACGAACCTTCTCAAAGTAACGCATCTCGCGCATTCTGGCTTGCTCTATTCGAGCCTTGCCTTCCTCATCTTGCATCATGGCCTCACAAAGACGGGCTCGACACTGAGGTGAGTGATGACGACGAGCCATGCCGAATTCTGCTGCGAAACATCCTTCGCAGCCAGGTGTGTAACCATGCTTTGCAAACTCCACATCTTTGCGAAGATATACACCTCGAGGAAAATATTCTTTTGGCTTCTCGCTTGGCTCTTCCACTGTTTGCGCAGGCGCCTCTGGCAAGTCAATCTGCAGAGGACGCTCAAGCATTGGGCTCACTGTTCCCTGATCCGGCTTTGGAGGACGCAATCCCCAAGGCAGTCCAAGAATAGCTTCAAGCTGCTCACGATCCCACTTGTCACTTGGGGGTTTGAGCTTCAAGCTCCAAGCTCGAAGCACGCCCTCCGAAGTTCCTATCCACTTCAAAGCTGAGCCTTCTTGTATGCCAAGGAAGATGCCATCCTCGAACTTTGCCTCAAGCTTGCGTTGCTTCCCTCCTTTCTCTTTCAAAGGACGGTAAAACACGCACTCGCCGAACTCAGGAAGTTTCTGTTTCCACTTCTTGCCAGTAGAACGCTCGTAGGGCGTTCTGCCGTCTGGGCCAAGCTGGTATCGGCTCCACAACGCGCCGGCGAAATCCACCAACCAAGGCAGAATCACGTGTCTAGGGTGCAACTTGACGTCATATTTGAACTCTAAAGCATCTTTCATTGTCCTGATCTGGCCTTGCATCTTGGAAACCATGGATTCAGCTTCTGCATTCGTTTGAGACTCCCCTTTGACTGCATCCTCGGGCCTCAAACTCGGCATCCGCTTGATGAGCTCGTTGCGCAAAGCCAAAATTGGGCGTTCTGTATCGGTCTTCAAGATCGCCTGAGCATAGCCTAGCTGCTTGATACTTCTTGCCGCAATAGCCACACTGTACTGATGCACCCCTTTGCTAGGCAAACTGTGTGTAAAGACTCGCTTGCTCTTGTTGTCTCGAATGATCAGCAAAGGTAAACTGATATCATCCTTGTCGCCCAAATAAAAATAGTCCATGGAATTTTATGGAACCCTGCGACCCAAATCGTCTACGAGACGTCTGTGTGCAGCGGTAAGACCTTTACCCCGAATGCAATGCCGACACCAAGCTCGAAACGGCAGGTGAGTCAGGTTGTGTTCGGAAACTTCACGTGCAGTGGGCTGGCTCGGTTGAGCCAACCCCTGAGCCACAGATCCCTCTTCAGCTTCCATCACCTCAAGCTCTTCAGCATCATAGTCTGTTGCTGGTACTGCTTCCGCTGCGGGTGCACCGAAAGCTGAAGGATCGTCGACCTCTGTAGCTGCGGTATTGTGCGGCATCACCCCATCAAGCTCCTCGTCTGGGGCAAGTGAAGGTGAATAGTTGCTCAAACGGTCATCAAAAACATCATGCAAGTTGTTGGTTCCGGCAGCTGTGTCGGCAGGGGCGGCTTCTACGCCCTCACTCGCTGCCTCCGGACTTACGGCGTTTAGGCCTGCCACGAGAAATCCGTGGAGGCGTTTGGGAGCACGTTCATGTTGTACACGTACACCCCATCCTCCTGCCACAGCATGATCTTGTCACCTGTGCTCTTGTCTATGATGTAGGACTCACACCCCACACCATCAAGCCAGATGCCGAAGCCCTTGTTGCAAACACTGGCCGCTGACGTCAAGACCTTGTGCACATCCGCGACACTGTAGCCAACCGCGAGCATCAAGCCCTCGTCTGTGGTGAAAACAGGCTCGACACGACCCTCGTCGTGCACCAAGCCTCCATTTGCAGCTGCGTAAGCTGTGCCTCCCTCAGAACTCTCTGTAGCCCTGATGGGGTAGTCAGGGAAAGCTTGTTTTGGGGCGACGGAGGCAGCTGCACCAGAGTCCAAAGTTGCCTGAACTCTGTAGCTACCTGCTGGCACGGAGTTGGATGCCGAAGACGCCGAAGTCAAGCTGCTGACGCTTTCCTTTCCTGGGAGGTACACATGCAAACTGTTCAAACGACGCACCTGCAAGTGGCTAACAGGTGCTCCTGCTGTTGAAGCTGCTGCTTGTGCTGCTACAGTTGCGCTGCTTGGCCCGGTCGTGGTTTGCGCTGGCGCCGGGCTAAGCTGCAGGGGTGCGGACTGGCTGCTGGAGCTCTGCTGGCTTTGGTACGCTTCCATGGCTGCCTTAGCGAAAGCAGACTGCAAAGCACTGAGCTGTGGATCAATGCTGGCCAAAGACTTCGGCTTGTGCCAACACTGGTCCTTGGAGTGGCCCAACTTTCGACAGAAGGGGCAGTAAGCCGTTGTTGAAGTTGCCGGCTTGCCCTTGCCAGCGCCTTTGCCACGTCCTCCTGGTTTACCACCACCCTTGCCTTTGCCACCAGACTTTCCTGTCGAGTGGTCCTTGCCTTTGCCATCGCCGAACTTGCCAGAGCCTTTTGCGCCCGAACCCTTGCCTTTGCCGCCACCTTTTCTACACTCAAACGCCAGGTGCTCACCGCCACAGATCCAGCAGGGACCCTTTTTCCTCATCACTGCGCCGATGTCCATGGCCGTGCTTGACACCTGATACGTCGTCTCGAGGTAGCCGAAGATCTCTTCTCTGATGTCCTGGAAGGTCTTGAACCTGTGGGAGTTGAGGTTGAGATGCTCACGTAACTTGCCTGGGCACATAGCGATCACTGTAGCTATCTTGAGATTCTCAGAGACCACATCTGAGCCAGGACGGGCTTCATACTCGATGATGCGGTTCTCCCACGAAATGATCTCACCACCGAGTTGGCCTAGTGGGACATTCTCTGGCGGGCTGGTGATGCGTGTCAGGCTTGCACGTTGCCTCCCGACGGTGGCTGGGTTGAAGCGAGCATGTAGCTTTCGCCAAGCTTCAAAGCCGTTCGGTCTCCGGGCTTGCTTAACCAAAGCTTTGGGCTCGCCTCCAGTGTAAGAGCTAAGACACGCATAGATGTTGGAATCTGCGTAGTCAATCAGCAACGGGTCTACATCAGGAAAATGCAGTTTGACAGCATCCTTATCCAGCGCAGTCCTCGGCTGATCATTCGCGATCCACTCGAGCACCTCCCATATGCCAGGCATGCTAGCATCAAGGAAAGTCACCATGGTGTCCTGCCAATCATGAAAGCTTTGCTTGGCCTCTTTGCTTCCATCGTACACAGAAGGCTTTCCAAGGTTCTTCTGATCAACAGCTCCTTGTTGGATGGCGTAAGCCACCGCTGGGTTCACCCGAGCGCTTCCGGCCAGGTTGAAAAGCTGGGGTCCTTGAAGAGGAACTTGGGACGAAACTTGCGGACCGGGCACCGTACCAAACTGCGTAGCTGCGGGCTGCTGAGCTTGAGCTGCTGGACTACTTCCAACCACTCCTCCACCAGCTGCGGGCTGCTGTGCTTGAGCCTGAGCCGTTGGACTGCTTCCAACCGCTGCTGCTTGAGACATGCTTGAGCCAGGCACGCTAGAAACATTCTGGGCGAAGGCTTGCATCTGCTGCTGCAAGGCACTGACACTGGAAATGACCTGCGACATCTGATCAATTCCAGTCTGTTGCCCTTGGACGGTTTGCGCCAACTGCGTGAGTTGGTCAGCCGTCGCTTGCTGCTGCTGAGAAAAGGCCAACTGCACCTGCTGAACAACCTCTCCTACAACATGCTCTGTCACAACTTGGGTGCCTGCAACACCCTGCTGAGTTTGCGCCACTTGCTGAGCCAACTCTTCAACACGCGATCGTTGCAGCTGTTGCTCAGTAACGAGCTGTTGCAACATACTGCCTATGTCTGCCAACGACGGCGTTCCTGCTGATCCACCACCATCTGTCATGATGCCCCAGATACTGTACTCGCAAAATGCGAAATTGATGCCGAGTAAAAGAAACTGTATAATGTATGTGAACTGCAAAGTCTCACGCACTGATAGTTGCCCCGGTATCCTCACCGCGGCTCCTCGCTACCATGAAGAACTATAGAGACAAATCACTACACCAACTAAGGGGACTTTTGCACTGCACGGCTGCAGGTACATTCTCGATTTGTGCGTGTCGTCCATGAACATGTTGACCTGAGCGGAGGGGCCATGCTAATCTTCTCTGTACTTCCGACATTTAGGGTTTAGGGTGCAGGGTTTCGAATAGGGATTCGAGAAGGGTGTTGGAGTAGTACAGGGCTTTGATCCCTGTTCTTCATGGTAGATGGTAGAGAATCCTAGCCCCGAAAACCAAAAAAACCCTAAACCCTGAGCCCTAAAGACTCTAAACCCTAACCCTAACCTTAAGGCTCAAGAGGTCCCAAGGCTCCTTCGTTCCCAGACGAGGCTTGCCATACGCAGACAAGGGTAACCTCGACTGTTCTTGGACCCCCCGATCCAAAAAAACAACACACCAAACCCCAAAACTCGTTGTTCCGTGTTAATCGAAACCCTATACACCCTACACCCGAGCTAAACCCTAAGCCCTAAACCCTAAAACCTCAACCCTAACACCCTACCAAAACATTTTTCAAGAACGGCCCAGCAACGCCCAGCAAATCCAGCAATACGGAAGACAGCACCCAAGGTGCAAGCCAGAGTGGGAGGAACTCCATCTTCCAGGGCGAGGGTTTAGGGTTTAGGGTTTAGGGTTTAGGGTTTAGGGTTTAGGGTTTAGGGTTTAGGGTTTAGGGTTTAGGGTCCGCCGACCCTGGCGGCGTGTTGGATGGGAAAAGGAGGTGAAACCTCCCGGGGAGGGGGGGGGGTGGGGGGGGTCGGTGCACAATTTTTTCGTGGAGGACCGCGCCACCGCACAGCGTAAACAGGGGGTTCAGCACGGGGGGGTAGGGGCGCCCTCAGCAAAATCAGCGTTTCCCCCTCCACCCCCCCCCCCCCCACCCCCCCCCACCCCCCCCCCCCCCACCCCCCCCCACCCCACCCCCCCCCCCCCCAACCCCCCCCCCCCCCCAACCCCCCCCCCCCCCAACCCCCCCCCCCCAACCCCACCCCCCCCCCCCCCCCCCACCCCCCACCCCACCCCCCCCCCCACCCCTCCCCCCCCCACCCCCACCCACCTGTCTTTTTGGCTTGAGCTTGTCCTGGTGCTACCCCCTACCCCCCCCCAAACGATTCACAGAACTCTGCCGGGGATGATCTTCCATGCGAGCGGGTCTCAACTATGCTCCAGCGGGGTCGGCGGCTTGAGCCGGAGGCTCTTAAATTTAGGGTTTAGGGTTTAGGGTTTAGGGTTTAGGGTTTAGGGTTTAGGGTTTAGGGTTTAGGGTTTAGGGTTTAGGGTTTAGGGTTTAGGGTTTCGGGTTTATAGGGTTTAGGGTTGAGGGTTTACAGGGTTTAGGGTTTAGGGTTGAGGGTTTCGGGTTTAGGCCGCTTTGAGGTTATATAGGGGGGCAGAGGCTGCATCTTCCAGGCCATCTAGGGCTTTTCGCTGCTGCTTTTTCTGGCTCTTTGGGGGCTTTTGGGCCCTTAGTAGGGGTTCTTTCGGTGCCTTTTGAGGTCTTTATCGGGTTCTAAAGACCAAGGTACACCACACTCGCTCTCTTCTCGGATCAACAGCCCCGCAAAAACCCTAAAAGCCTCAAAACCCTCTAGACCCCCCAACTCCCCGAACCCCCGAACACATAACATAGGGGCCTGAATAATTAGAATAGGGTTCTGGGGCTTGTTCCAAGTATGAATATACAGGCACCGCAAGGAAATACCAGTAGTACTTGTTCCGAACTGCGACCCCTACTTTCTCTCCCGTAGGCAAGAGCCAGAGCAGAGGACCTTCTCAGGGCTTGCCGCATATTTTGCGAAGGTGGCCATTTCCATGTTGCACCAAAGCCTTCCAGAAGGGGGGGGTCCTGGGTTTATGGGAAGTCTATAAAGGTGGGATAAAGCAGTGGCATCTAGAAAGGGTCGATGTAAGGTGTCCGTAGAGGGCTTACATGTGTGCTTGGTGTATGTAGGGTCTATCTAGGGTTTGTATAGGATGTATCATTTATATATGATATATGGTCGATATGAAGTAGGGTTTATATTTCTTGTATCCCCGAAAGGACACCCAATACATACACTCACCAATATTGAAAAGGAACTTTATATACACTCACCAGAAACAGCAATATAAACCCTGGTTCATCTACAGTCGATGGGGGGTTTCTCGGCCCTGGCGCGACATTGAGCTACGTGAGGACAGCCTCTCAAAGTAGGTGTCGTCCCACAAGACCAGCATCCTCCGACACAGCTTTTTAGGGTCTAGGGTTTAGGGTTGAGGGTTTACAGGGTACAGGGTTTAGGGTTTAGGGTTTAGGGTTGGAATTCATGAAGCCCCTAGTATGGCAATAACGGGGAGGGGGGGTTGAACAATTTTCATAGGTTGCGCTTAGGGGAGCCAGTTCAGGGTGTTTGGGTCTCGTGCAAGTAGGGTTTAGGGAACCCTAAACCCTCAACCCTAAACCCTATAAACCCTCAACCCTCAACCCTATAAACCCTCAACCCTAAAGCCTACACTCGAAAACCCTCTACCCTCAACCCTAAACCCCAAACCCTACACCCTAAACCCTCAAGCCCTAAACTCTAAACCCTAAACCGAGACCCCCGACACCCCGACTCGTCCTCGCGGATCGGGCCACGAAGACCGGCAGCGCTGCGACCTGTTGCGCCTGCTCTTGGAGGTTTAGGGGTGCTTATATAACCAGTTGTAGCTGTACTTAAAGGGGTTTAGGGTTTAGGGTTTAGGGTATAGTGTTTGGGGTACTTATGAGCCAAGTAGAGCAGTACTTATGACCCACTTCTAAGCCTCCTAAGTGCCCCGATTTGCTTAGATTTAGAGTTATAAGTACTGTTATGTGAATTGGTGAATAAGTACCATGAACCTCCACGTGTGTGTCATAGGGTGTGAAGCTTCCGGGGTCTTCGGGTTCAGGGTTGAGTGTGGGTTTAGGGTTTAGGGTTTAGGGCCAGGGGTTAGGAATGAGGGTTCCGGACCTATGCTTGGTAGCCCAGTAACCATAATATAATCAGGGCACCCTTTTTTGGGTTGGTTCTTTCATGAGGGAACCCATAACCAAAAATAGGGCAAAGGGTACCACTGGGCTACCAAGTATGGGTTCAACCTGAACCCCAAACCCTAAACCCTAAACCCTAAAACCTAAACCCTAAACCCTAAAGGCTGCTGCGGTTGCCCTGAGAGGGGGTGGAAGCCTCGAGCTGGAGAAGCAGAAATCAAGTGCTACACGCCGTAAACACTACAAACGGGTTTAGGGTTTAGGGTTTTAGGGTTTTTAGGGTTTTAGGGTTTTAGGGTTTTAGGGTTTTAGGGTTTTAGGGTTTTAGGGTTTTAGGGTTTTAGGGTTTTAGGGTTTTAGGGTTTTAGGGTTTTAGGGTTTTAGGGTTTTAGGGTTTTAGGGTTAGGGTTTTATAGGGTTTTAGGGTTTTAGGGTTTTGGGGGTTTTCGGGTTTTAGGATTTAGATGTTCCCCCTTTTTATACTAACCGTCCTTAATAAGGATTATAGTACCACCTATTAGAATCCCTACGGAGGACTGTTAGTATAAGGGGGACCATCCCAACATAAAACTCAACAAACCCGGCAAGCCCTACAAACCCTCATCTCTCAAACCGCATACAGGGTGGGGCCCCCTAGTTATAAGTAGAGTTATAAGGGCCCTAAATTGGGTTATAAGGACCCTAAGTTAGGTTTAAGTCCCTTCCTTAACTACAGTTAGTATAGTAAGGGGGCCCCACCCTGTAAACCCTGTAAGCCCAACAAAGCCCATAAACCCTAGAAAGCCGACCAGGCCCACAAACCCTCTAAACCCGGCCAACCCTGCAACCCGATAAACTCCCTGAACCCGAGCTGACCCCAAAGCCCCCCCATATGATGCTAGCTCTAAACCCTAAACCCTAAACCCTAAACCCTAAACCCTAAACCCTAAACCCTAAACCCTAAACCCTAAACCCTAAACCCTAAACCCCACACCCGAAACCCTATCCCTTGGGGGGGGGGGGGGGGGGGCACCTTTAGGCTCTGGTTCGTCTGATGGATGCACAGCTTGTCCAGCCAAAGGGAAGGGGCCCAGCAGCCTGTGGTGCGGCTTAGTCCAAGGGTTTAGGGTTTAGGGTTTAGGGTTTAGGGTTTAGGGACTAGGGTTTAGGGTTTAGTGTTTAGGGCTAGTTACATGGGCCCTCAGTATGGGCCCTCAAATGGTGACCCCTTGTATACCCCACATATATCCGTCATATCCTGTACAACCCAAGGGCCCATACTTGAGAACCCTTAGATTTAGTGAGTTTCGGGAGACTAGGGGGCGCTTCTGTTCCCAAGGTGATCACTACTTTGGAGGTTTTTGGCTAGTTTAGGGGTTTGGGGTGTAGGGTTTTGGCTTCGTGCTGTTGCAATATTCCTGACGACAGTTGCCCTTACACCCATGATTGCTATGGTTGCTGCGATGTCTATGCTTACTCATGCTGCAGCTATTGCTAGCGTTTGTTGTTTCCATTGCTCCTGGTGTCATTTCCACTACTCTTGGTTCAGTCGCTGTATTCCCATTACTCTTATAACGCTTCTGTTGCGATTCGTGCCCGCAATAAGAAAATGCTTGACCCCAGAGACGGTAGGAAACTAAGGGAAAGCAGCTCTCGATTTCAGGGCTTGCAGTTTTGGGGGGGTGTGAAAGGGCAACCTGGCTAGCAACACCTAAGCCACTGCAATAAAAAATATATATAGTAAAATGAGGAGTATAAGATATGTTTTTATAAAACTTGAAGATATAATACATAGTATATAATACATAATATATAGTGTATAAGGTAAAATGTATCATGTTTTCGCCCCAACCCAAATGCATCTCGTGCCCTGCGACGCAGGGGCTTCCCGATATCTGCTGGCCAAAGAAGAAGAACACGAAGAAGACAAGGATTGGAAACTCCTCTGCGCGGGCGTGCAAAAACCAAACTTTCTAGGAGAGCTTTACAGGGTTTAGGGTTTAGGGTTTAGGGTTTAGGTTTAGGGCTATAAATTAAGCACCACAGGAAGAGTGCAAAAACATATTCAAAATCAACCCAGGTTCGATGAGCACAGGGAAGAGGTAGTGCCGGTCGCATAGGTGCGCTCTTTCCTCCCAGATATTCTCGGGGCTTCTGGGGCTCGGACGCTATCCTTCTTTCCCGGAGCATGGCCCTCCTTTGTTTTAGGCCCTAAACTCCCTAAACTCCCTAAACTCCCTAAAATCCCTAAACTCCCTAACATCCCGAACCTCCCTAACTCCCCACCCCCCCCCCCCCCAATACTTCTATCTATGGTTTGGGGTTGGGCAACTTTTGGGTGGGTGGAGGGCCAGGGATGTTTAGGGTTTCAAGGCAGCACCTGCCGAAATGGTTCCCGCCATCCACACGGATGATCCGTAGCAGTTTCACGCCCAACGAGGTTTAGGGGTTTATTGGGTATTGGGTTTAGGGTTTAGGGTTTAGGGTTTAGGGTTTAGGGTTTAAGGCACCCAGAACCCCGTCCCAAACTGAAAGCCCTTGGCGGGAAGCACCGAGCAGACTCCGAAATCGAGGTTGCCCAGTAGCCCGGGAATCAAATGAAGCGACTTTTGTAGACCAAGGTACTACAGGGCGTCATCGAAATACTACATCCCGAGCCTGAGCCGAACCCCACTAAACCCTAAACCCTAAACCCTAAACCCTAAACCCTAAACCCTAAACCCTAAACCCTAAAGCCTAAAGCCTAAAGCCTAAAGCCTAAAGCCTAAAGCCTAAAGCCTAAAGCCTAAAGCCTAAACCCTAAACCCTAAACCCTAAACCCTAAACCCTAAACCCTAAGCAGCCTAAACCAGTCTCCCCTGGCCTCCATCATGGTCAGTGCCACAATGTTCAACACCCAGGTGGCTAATGCCATCTTCACGGCAATACCCAGATTGAGAAAGTAGCACATGCTCAGGTACCTTGGCAACAAGGCATTCGGTTCAGGGTTTAGGGTTTAGGGTTTGGGGTTTAGGGTTTGGGGTTTAGGGTTTAGGGCTTAGGGCCAAAGTTCAAGTTCAGGTCCTCCCCCGCCCCCCCCTGTCCTGTTTAAAGGGGCCTCTCTGCTAGGTTGCCCCACAGCCTAGGATGAAAAAGGGCCGCCCTTTTGTGCTGAAAGGGGTGTATGAGGGAACCTAAACCCCCCAAAAAATGGGAAAAAGGGTAGCGCTGGGCATCCTAGTCTGTAATTATTTTAAAGCTGCCTGCTCCCAAGAACACGGGGCCAGCAACGATCAATTGCAAAGGCTGCGGAATACTCCCGAACCCACGCGCTGGAAACGAGCTTGCGAAGACCTGCCCTCAAAACCCTAAACCCTAAACCCTAAACCCGAAACCCGAAACCCTAAACCCTAAACCCTAAACCCTAAATCCATGCGCCGCAGCGCTTGGGCCAACGTCCGGAGCTCCAGGTGTGGCTAATAAACACCTGAGAGCAGCAGGCGGTTTTTGGGGGACTCAAGGAACACTTAATCGGGGTTCAGGGTTTAGGGTTTAGGGTTTAGGGTTTAGGGTTTAGGGTTTAGGGTTTAGGTCCAGATATACCCTTGCAGGGACTCGGCGGCTAGAACGCTGTAGATGACAATGGTGACAATCGCGCAGGGCATGTGATCCTCATCCTAAGGAACCCTCAACCCTAGACCCAAGCCCCAAAAGCCTTGAACCATAAGGGGGTTTCCGGAGTTGGACCCTAAACCCTCAACCCTCAACCCTAAACCCTAACCCTAAACCCTAAACCCGAAACCCTCAACCCTAAACCTTCAACCCTAAACCCTAAACCCAAAAAAAGGCCTCGCCTCCACACGGCTGACACACTCCGTGCCGCCAAAAGCGCCATCGCCCGCCGTGGCGTCGCCCTGACGCACCGCGGTTGAGCTCTCCAGGCTTTAGGGTCTTTATAGGGGCTTTAGGGTCTTTATAGGGGCTTGGGGTTTATGTAGGGCTTATATAGGGTCTTAGGGTTTATGTAGGGCTTTTTATAGGGGCTTTAGGGTTTTTATAGGGGCTTTGGGATATACGGGCTTTAGGTTTTTCTTTTTGGGGTTTTTATAGGGTTTGTGTAGGGTTGACATAGGGTTTGAGCTGGGCCTCTCGAAGATTCGATTATCTGGGCAGGCCCGGCTAGCGAGGTGGCGCGCGCAAGCGGTTACAGTTAGGTTCCCCCCCCAAAAGAGGCAAAAGGGATTCTTGGGGCCCGCTGTAATGGTGGCCGAGGGACTTCGGGTCTTAGAGGTCTTCGGTCTTAGGGTCATATCTTCGGGTCCTTTCTTAGGGTGTTTGGGTCGTAGGGTCATATTTTGGGGTCTTAGGGTCTTAAGGTCTTAGGGTTTTTAGGACCCCCGCCATCCCACTCACCAAAACCCAATCCCACCTCTCTCGGTGCCTCAGCAGCACCAATGACGCCAGTAAGGCCCTGCCAACGCGGAGCACGTGCTTGGCCCCTCTCAAGCTCCCCTCCACCCCTCTCTGGAAGGACTCCATAAGCATGAAAACCCAAAACCTAAACCCTAAACCTCTAAGCCCTAAACCCTAAACCTGAACTCCCTGACCCCCCAAGCTGTCCTACGCGGCCCTAGAACTCCCCCCACCCCAGGTTTAGGGTTTAAGGGTTTAGATTTAGGGCTCATACTTGGAGGTGCATGGTACTTATTCAGCAATAATAACTGTACTAATAACTGTACTTCTAACCACATGAGGGCACTTGAGTGGCGCAAGAGTGGGTTATAAGTACAGGTATACTGTAACTGGTTCATAAGTACCATGAACCTTCAAGTCGGGCTCGGATCAACACCCTAAAGCCTAAACCCTAAACCCTAAACCCCAAACCCCAAACCCTAAACCCTAAACCCTATAAGACTTCTCCTCTGCTGCGCTGGCCTCGGCGAAGACCTCCCCGAGGCCGCCCAGGATCTGCAGCGCCGAGGCGGCCCGGAAGAGGCCCCGGTCGCAGAGCGCCTCCCATACGGGGGGTTTCCGAAAATGGGGGTTCACGGTTTAGGGTTCAGGCTTTAGGAATATAGGGGTCGTGTTCCCTTATGGTCTCTTTATAATTTACTAGAATAACCCGCCAGGGGGTAATATAGGGGTCGGAACAACTACTAATAGTGTCCTTTATATAATTATACTAGAATGACCCCCCAAAAAAACCCAAGTCGAATTAGTCAGCCCCTATATTACCCTTTTTGGGGGGGTCCCTTTTCTATTCTATTTGGGGTGTAAAACGGGCACCCCGATTTTGAGAAATGCCCATATCGGGCCGGGGCCTAAAGAGGACGCAAAGGGGGTTGAGGGGGGGGGGGGGGGTGTTTAGGTTCTTGTTGCTATTGTTCTTCTTGCTATATGATGAAAATTTTTTCTATTATCAAAGTTATTATCATTCGTATTGTTCTCGGTATCTTACTCTTTACGGAGGGGGGTTTAGAGGGTTAGGGCTAGGGCTTTGGAGTGTCCACTAAGGGGCTTAGGGATGTTTTAGGTTGCAGGGTTTGGAGAGAGTCTTTGGGGAAGCGGGGTTGGTGTAGGCTTGGGCTTAGGAGTTGTTAGGGTTTAGGAAGTGGGGCTTAGGGTTTGGGGTTGAGGGTTCGGGGTTTGCTGATGGGATGATGTCGAGGCTACTCGGGCTTGGCAAGCTGCCTCGGGGAGCTTTATGGGAAAGGTCTTGGCGCCACCAGCACATGCAATGCTGCATCCATGAAGTGTGATAACGTCCACGGTACCGGCACATACATTGCCCAACGCATCTATGGCCGAAGGTGGTAGCGTCCGTGCTTTCAGCATGTACATTTGCCCCACTGCTGGGGTGAAAACCTAGCCTCTGCAACAATCCTGCGCAGCCAGAATCCTGACCCGGTATGAAACATTGCAGCGAAAAGAGAAATCTGGACAGAAATGTAGAGTTTTCGTGTTTCGAGGTCATGCACATCCAGAATCTAATCTGCCTAGTAAAACCAAAAACACAGATGTTGACCGCGCAAAAGCATCAAGTTCTGGGTGGATTCTTGAAAACTGCACACGGCGGCGACGCACTTGTGAACCATACCAACACTTGTTTGCATCGGCCCTGCCATGCTTTTTCAGCATATGACCACACGTGATGCGGGGCAACCGGATACGTTTAGGGTTTAGGGTTTGGGGTTTAGGGTTTAGGGAAACCCTGTTCAGGGCCCCCATACCGGGCGCCCCAGGCAACCTCAACGTTGCAACCCTCTTTGGAGTTTAGGCTTTACTTGGAGGTTCATGGTAACTGTACTTGTAAATGTACTCACAACCAAGGGCACTCAAGGGGCTTCTAAGTGGGTCATAAGTGCAGTTATAATTGGTTAATGGGTACCATGAACTTCCAAGTAGGATTTAGGGTTTAGCAACGGCCTGCTCATCTAAGGTCTCGTTGCAGAAAGCTACGTACCTAAAAGCTCTAAACTATACTGCCCTTAGAACCTTAATTAAAAATATTGTTCAATATCCACTTGGGTGTTACATGAAAAAACACAATAAATCCCAAGGGGGATTTAGTAAAACATCTTTGGGTCTGGCTCAAGCCGCTGCAAAAAGCCGCTTCAAACCCCACGTGCCAGGTCCTTTAAATGGGTTCCTTTTCGAAGTCCGCTTTTTTAGAATGGCACGCCTTTATATGAAAAGGACCCGAAAAGGGACCCGAATTTTTATTTTGAGGAACTACATCCTAGCCAACATGAGGGAACCCAAATAAAGTCCCCCACAAAGTAGGATTCTGCGACAAAAAGGACCCCAATAAGGGTACCCCTATTTTCCTGAAATCTCATATACATACATATATATATATATATCAATATAAATATAAAGACACATAAAAAATGTATATAATAAATAATATATATATATGACGCCCTTGGCAAGATGAGTGCCACATCGCCTGCACGGAGCCGACGTTCCGCAGCCGAGCCATCCAGCTCGAGGGGCGGCTTGGGATGGGTTGAATGGGATTTCTGGACTTCTTTGAGTTTATAGGTTTTAGCGTTTAAAGTTCGGGTTTATGGGATTTAGGGTTTAGGGTCATTAGGGTTTTGGGGTTTAAGTACGGTTTCAGGGCCCTGCTTCAGGATTGGGTTTGGGGTTTTTGGATTTCAGTAGGGTTCTAGGGGTTTATAGGGTTCAGGGTGTAGAAAGGGTTTGGAGATGTTTCCGGGGGTTGAGAGGGTTGAGCCTCTTTGGGGTTTCAGAGGGGTTGAGGGTCTCGAGTTTTGATCGGGGTGGTGCAACGCTGCATGAGCTGCCAAGTCAAGGCACGGAAGCCGTCTTTCCAAATCTACAACTTGCTTAAGAAACACACAAAATCATCGATCCTTACATTGCCCTTATAAGGACGAATATTTGTAGTTGTTGGGAGGGCTCTTAAACAAGTAGTAGAAATGGGTGTGGAAACTGCCGTCTATAGAGCATGCAGCCAGGATGAAGAGGACACTGGTCACTCAATTTGCCAACTGCAAGACTAATATAAGGGTCTTCCCTTATGATCCCTACATATCTATGCTATAAAAAACCCCCAAAACCCAAAACCCAAAACCCAAAACCCAAAACCCAAAACCCAAAACCCAAAACCCAAAACCCTCTTCTAATTATTAAGGCCCCGATATTAGACTGCTTGAGGAGCCTTTTCCTTCCCCCGAGTGCTTCAGGAAGTCACGGGCTCGAGCTTCCAAGCATGCTGGGAGAAGTCCTGTGTAGGGTTGTTTTGGGTTTAGGGTTTAGGGTTTCGGATGGTTGAGGGATACCCGACAAGAGCTTAGGCTCATAGGGCACCGGCATGCGATTGGCACTGAGAACTGCAGATCACAACAGCTTCCCGTGCAATCCCGTGCAGAGTTCGGATCCGGCATGTGCATTTCAGCAGCAGAGCACGCTGTCCCTTAAGGTCCTGCATGAATTAGGCGGTTCATTATAGGAAGACCACCACAGGAGCACAAGCACAAGCCGTTTGACGTGCGTAGGCAGCCCGCGGTGGCCTATGCCCCCGTAGAGCTATGAGGCTGTCCGGTTTTCCGAAGCACCTCTGATCTATAATCAGTCAATCCAGGGAACAGTTCTACATCGCAGAAGAAAGGGCAAGCCAATCTGAAAACTCCAAACCTCCATGCCCTAACACGCCGCTTTTCGACTTCTAGTTTCGATCTCACAGACCTCCCCTTCGCCTGGAAAAGGGACTCTCCGCTCTCATTCTGAAGCCTGGTACTTCTCCAGTGCCTTCTGATACTCTTTGAGCTTCTTCTCCTTCAGCTGCTCGTACTTCTTTTTTGTGGCAGGAGTGACTTTCTTCCAGTCGCTGCCTAGCTGTGCTATCACTTGCGTCGCCTTGAAGTCCGGGCGCTTCTCTTGCACCTGCTTGTAGTTGTCCGCGACCCACAGGTTGTAGGCACTGCCAGGCCTCTTGGGCTTGTTTGGGTCCTTTTTCGGCTTGGTCTGGCGCCGCTGCGGCATGCGCCGCTGCGGCATGGTGCCACCAGCGTCGAGGAAAGCTGCCTTCTGCTTCCGATACTCTTCGAACTCCTCCTTTGCTTCGTCTTCATAGGGCTTCTTCGCTTTCGCTGAGAGCTGGCGCCACAGTGCTCCAAGCTCGCGTGTGATGTCCTTTACTTCCGCACTTTTGCCCAACCGTTTCATGACCTTCGCGCGCTCTTCTTTGCAGAAACGCAAGTAGGACGTCAGCGGCCGCTTGGGCGGGTCGCTCGGTGCACTTGCAACCTTCCCCTTTCTGGCCGCCTCGCCTGCAGTCACCCCACGGTCTCGCGGATGCCTTGGCAGGCCCGGCGAGAAGCGGAGAAAGGGTAGCGATCCGAACGCGCCAAGAAGTGCCAAGAAAAGGCTGGTCAACAATGGTCGACGAACCATTGTGCTGCCTGTCTTCACACGCAGAGGAGAAATCTACTACAGTACCCTGTGAGCCACATGCATAGCCATTTTCAATTTTGGGCTGCTTTGCCCAGCTCGACAAATAGATTAAGGCTCAGGGATTTGGGGATTTGGGGGTGGCAATCCAAGCAACATAAGGCTTTGGTGCTGTATACTCTAGCAGACTCTAACCATCTGGATTAAAGCCCGCGTGCAAGGCGCTGTCCTGCTCGGGCATGTCCTGTGGCTTTCGGGTTCGGGCCTTGTGGGGGGGGGGGTTAGGGGTTTGGAGTTTCAAGGCTTTTGGGTTTAAGGTTTAGGGTTGAGGGCCTGAACCATACGGTTTGGGTGAACCAGCAAAAGCAAGATACACATAGGGGTGCAGCAACCGGTCCAGGGTTGGACCAAAGGAAGAACCCCCTAAACCCTAAACGTCCAGGAAAGCCCCAGGAAGCCCCCAAACCCTACCAAAAGGCTTTAAAAGCCACCAAAAGGCTTCAAAAAGCCTCCCAAAAAGCCGGAAAGCCCAGGATTTGCCAGACCCGCAATTAAAAATGCGATTTTTTAGTACTGAAATTGATGGTTTGGGCGCCCCTCCATTTTATCCCCAAAAGGGCCTGGACGGCGGGGACCCCTTCGGCAAAGACTTGGCAGTTAGGGTTTAGGGTTTAGGGTTTAGGGTTTAGGGTTTAGGGTTTAGGGTTTAGGGTTTAGGGTTTAGGGTTTAGGGTTTAGGGTTTAGGGTTTAGGGGCTAGGGTTTAGGGCAAAAGAATTGGCAGGGGGTTTCGGTCAACCCTCCTGCGACGTGAGACTTCAAACCTCCGCCGCGCCTTTCGCCCTCTCCCCGGTCAAAAGATGACCAGCGCCCGCACCGTAGCTTTTGCAAACAGTGGGTCATTCTGGGCTTTGCCATGGAAAATGAGGGGCGAAGAGGGGGGGACCTTGCTCAGTTGGCCCATGAGAAAAAAGTCGCAACGTGGGAAGGCGCGTGCCAGCTCACGGCATCTTGCAAACAATATATTCACCCGCCCGGAAAAAAACATGCCTAGAACTGACTTACAGCCCTATAGGTGCTCTGGCCTTTCTTGGATCTTATGGACTAGAAACCCTCTGTGCCTCTTACACCCCTAAACCCTAAACCCTAAAAATAAACCCTAAAATAAACCCTAAACCCTGAACCCTAAACCCCCCAAAACTCAAAACCAAACAGCCCGGCCGACGAAGCAGTGCGCCAAGCCGAGGACCTCACGAGAGGCGAACATGAATCCATCGAAAGGGGGGGGGGGGGGGGGGGAGGGGCGTAGGGATGTTACATAGGGTTTTGAATATGGTGGTAATTTTTGGGGTCAATAAGGTTTTATAGGGCTTATAGGGCTTACAGGGCTTAATGTGGTTATAGGATTTATAGGGTTTATAGGGTAGAGGCCTGGAGTGAGGGTGTAGGGCTTATAGGGCTTAAGGGTTTAAGGTTCTTTCGGGTCGAGGGTGGTGGGGGTCGGGTGCCTCTTCCACATGGCCAAAAGTTCGCGGGCAATGGCCAAAGGTTCATGGGCAATGGCAGGTTGAGGCCAAAGTTCGTGGGCAATGGCGAGTTGCCATTGCCCACGAACTCTAATCAATTGCCCACGAACATTTGGCCATTGCCCACACAGCCTTGGCGTAGGGTTGACGGTAGGGCTTGCAGTTACAGGGGCTTAGGCTTATGGTAGCCTGAAGATGCCGTACTCGTCAACCCATGAACCTCAAAACCATAACCTCTTCGCCCACAACCCCCAAACCCTCAACCTTTTTAATGTGGTGGTAGTTTTGGGGGTCAGTAAGGTTTTATAGGGCTTATAGGGTGTATAGGAGCCATGACCGAGAGGCCATGAACACGGATATCTCAAGGAGATGCTCGACATTCTCGTTGCCGTAAGTCGGCGTGACTCCTGGGCAGGAGAATTTAGGGTTTGGTTTTGGAAGTTCAGGGTTTAGGGTTTAGGGTTAAGGGGTTTAGGGCCCACAATGCCCCAATACCCTGATGCCCATACCCTAAAGCTCTAAAGCCCCAGGGTCTAAATGGCTCCAGCATGTTACCATATTCCCCTCTAAACCGTAGAGGTTTCAGGGAACAGTTGGGTTAGGGCTTAGGGTTTAGGTTTCAGAGTTTAGGGTTTAGGGTTTAGTGACTTTAGTGTTTAGGGTACCCCAAAGCATGCCCTTGATAGTACATTCTCGTGAGTTGGGAAAACGTTTTTTCGCAATGTAAGGAGGAGGGAGTTTATTCGGGGAGGGACCGTTCTACGCCAGAGTTATTCATAAGAAACAGGCGCGGCTTAAGAGGACTCAAACGTGTTGCTTGCCCTAAACCCTAAACCCTAAGCCTTAAACCCTAAACCCTAAACCGCTAAACCCTAAACCCTAAGCCCTGAAGTTCTGCATCAACAAAGGGATCTTCGGCACTTGCAAAGGCCATTTGCAGCTTTGGGCTTGCCCTGTCCTGGCCTGATTTAACCACCCACCGGCAAGCGACCCCTGAAACGATGAACCCCATTCAACACACACACACAGAGACGGACACACACACACACACAGACAGAGACAGACACACACACACACAGAGACAGAGACAGAGACAGAGACAGAGACAGAGACAGAGACAGAGACAGAGACAGAGACAGAGACAGAGACAGAGACAGAGACAGAGACAGAGACAGACACACACACACACAGAGAGACAGAGACACAGACAGAGACACACACACACACACACACACTCAAGCAACCTTCCTGACAGCCAATACTGGTACCTCTGATCTGCGAGCCACATCAGCTTAGACAGGCTAGGCCTGCTGTCACTGAAGTACATCTTGCTCCTGAATACCTCTGATGTTTCAAACTGGTGTTGACATTGAAGAGAACTATGAAAAAAGGAATTTGTATCGGCAGATTGGGTCCTGTCTGCCATTTGCAGGTACGCCAGACTGATCAGGTCTGGTATCCCCCAGGATGGCTAGCTGACTAGCTTCGTCGGCACAAGTCATCATCCTGGGCTTGTGCCCCCTGCTCAAAAGAAATGAGGTCGACTGTTGAAACCCTTGGTTACAGGGTTGGACACACACAGGCAGACAGACAGACAGACAGACAGACAGACAGACAGACAGACAGACAGACAGACAGACAGACAGACAGACAGACAGACAGACAGACAGAGAGACAGAGAGACACTCAGACACATGGGAGCGCAGACACGAGAGCTGTCCAAATTCAACTGCGTCAGAGGTCGATTGTCAAAGAACATGGAGATGCTGTGGCAGATGCCGTGGGCAGCGAAAAATGCCAAGATGGAGTTGTTCACCTCATGGCACAAGATACTTCAGCTGAGTTCTATTCTATAGGTGGGCCCTTAGGTTGAGGGTTTTAGCCCCAAGGTTTCCCAAGATACTCTTAACCGAACAGGGAAAGATGCAAACAACAACTGTTGAAGGGCCTACCTAGAAGGGCACCCATGACCTCGAATGATCTACAGATCCCAGAGAAACACTTCCGAATAGAAACCGCTGTTCCTGTTTTGAGGGGACGTTGCCTTGGACACTCAAGGTGGTACCCTTGAATTTTTGGGACCCTTTCTAAAGATTCCTAAGGCGAGATAGGCGCCAGATATGGAGCATATTAGAACCCTAAACCCTAAACCCTAAACCCAGTTTATTTAGGGAAACCTTTAGGGGTACAACCTTCGGGGTACGAGTCTTAACCCCTTGAGGTTTAGGGGTGTAGGGTGAAAGTTTTCGGGGCTGAGGAGGTTTTAATCCTTTTAGAAGGGGTGCAAACTTAGGGGGTATCAGCCTTAGCCTCTTGAGCGCCCCTGCTTGGAGCTTAAATTGCTGTCGTAAAAGGGTTCTTAAGGGAGGGGGGGTCAAGGAGGGGTGCCTTAAAAACCCTTAGGAAAGCTTGGGGAGCCTTAGGGGACCCCTCCCTTAAGAACCCTTTCATCTCGCAAGGGAACCAAACCCTCCAAAACAAACACGCTGGGCTTGGGCCGACGACGGTTTAGTGTTTCGGGTTTGGGGTCTAGGGCCCAGGTATGCCCAGGTTTTAGGGTTTGCCTTGTGGTTGGTTGGCTTTCGAAGCCTTCAGCCCACGGACATCCTTGAAAAACCTCAACCCCGTCAACTCGTTTCGATTCAACCCCCCCTCAACCGTAACCCTCAACCCTAGACCCTAGACCCTAACCCGAAACCCGAAACCCTAAATCCTAAACCCTAAACCCTGAACCCAGTATATTTAGGGAAACCTTTAGGGGGGTACAACCTTAGGCCCCGCTCACGACCCCCTAAGTACCCAAGGTCTCCGCCTTGGGGTTGGCGGCCGCGAAGAAGAAGGACAAGAAGAAGGTGGCGAAGGTACCTTGGGGGACGCAGCCCTGACCCCCTCAAGCCTGAACCCCTTAAAACCTTAGCAAGTTTAGGGTTTAGGGTAAGCCCTTAAAGCCTAAACCCCTAAACCCTAAAGTACCTTTGCTGAAAAAAAAGCGCCGTTGAAGGGGTCGATTGAGCCCTCTCAATCTCGTAAAGCTAAACTTTTCAACCTTTGAACCTGAAACCTCAGAACCCCAAACCCCAAACATCCTCAACCTTGAGCCCTAGAAAAGCCCAAAGACCTCATGAGCCTGTCTAGTGCGGCGAGGCTGCCGCGCCAGAGAAGCTCTGCTTCAATGTTGTAGGGCCTGGCCGGCGTAAGGGAGGCATCGTGGGGCGCTGCAGGTTTAGGGTTAGGGTTTAGGGTTTAGGGTTTAGGGTTTAGGGTTTAGGGTTTAGGGTTTAGGGTTTAGGGTTTAGGGTTTAGGGTTTGGGGTTTGGGGTTTAGGGTTTGGGGTTTGGGGTTTGGGGTTTAGGGTTTGGGGTTTAGGGTTTAGGGTTTGGGGTTTAGGGGGGCCGAAGGCAACAAATAACGACGTCCAGCCATACATTCTTGTCAACGTGTATTGTCTGTCTATCTGTTTGTGCAAATATGTATACAGATAAATACAGATCTGTGTGTATTTCTGTGGGCATCTTCTCGCCAAGTCACCGTCCCACGGTTCAGCAGCAGCAACATCTAACACAAGGCATGCGGTTCAAAGGCAACGGGGCAGCTCTCGGATGAACTCCGTGCTATTGGAGCCACCGCACACTCGGGCAAAGATCAACGACCAAAGTCTTTCCGAATCTTTCGTTAGGGAGGCGGATTGATTATTATGAGTCATCTGCTGCGTTTTTAAGCAACATGCTGACTGAACTATTTTTTGGGGGGAGGGTTCCTAATGCCTAAACCCTGAACCCTAAACCTCGGGGTGTAGAGCTGAGGGTAACCCTAAGCCCTAAACCCGAAACCCGAAACCCCTAAACCCCTAAACCCTAAACCCTAAACCCTAAACCCTAAACCCTAAACCCTAAACCCTAAACCCTAAACCTTGGGGTCTTTCGGGGCTTTCTTGGGTGCCTCCACCTCACCCAGAGTTGCACCCTCTCCCAGGGACCGAAGATGGGCATGATCAGGCCAAAGGGAAAGAGGGAGAAGACCAGGGTGTAGATCCTTGAAGGGGAGGAGGATTCAGAGGGTTTAGGGTTTGGGGCAAGGGAAAGAGGGAGAAGACCAGGGTGTAGATCCTTAAAGAGGTTGAGGATTCAGAGGGTTTTTCGGGTTTTTAGGGTTTTTAGTAGATCCTTGAAGGGGTTGAGGATTCAGAGGGTTTAGGGATTTTAGGGTTTTTAGGGTTTTCGGTGTCTTTAGGGTTTGGGGTTCAGTTTGGGGTTTAGGAATCCCTAGCTAGTGGACCACGGTGTAGATCCTTAAACGGGTTTCGGCTTCAGTTTAGGGCTCGAGGAACTCCCTAAACCCCAAATCCACAAGGTTTAGGGTTTAGGGCTTGGAGTTTTAGGGCTTAGGGTTTAGGGTTTTAGGGCTTCTTTAAGGGGGCTACAGCTTCGCAATTTTTTTTGGGGGAGGGGGGGGGGTTGAGGGGCCTGGCCTGCTTGGGGCTGTCAGGGTGCCTCTACACAAGTCCTAAACTCCCCAAACCTCCCAAAACCCTTAACCCTAACCATGAGACCCTGTACAACCCCAACAGCCAAGCGTCTTCACTCGCAGACGCGTGTCGGGATCTCTCAGATGCCGGTAGGCCCCTCGACCGAAATCTTTGAGCCACGCCTTGGCCGGAGAGGGGGGTTGAGGGGGGGTTTAAGGGGGGGTTAACGGGTTTAGGGCGGCTCCCCGGGGGCTCAGGGGCATCTTACTGGGTACTTTGGCGGGGTCTAGCAGGAAGCCCTAAACCCAAAATCATGGAACAAGAGTGAAAAGACCCTGAACGTGTCCATGGGCAAACTCTCTGACTTCTGCGAGAAGCGCTAGAAACCAATCGTAGCCTGTAGGCCTCATGTTCACCCACCCTCGAGCGCGCCCGCCAATGCTTCAGCCTCAAAAATCAACCCTGTACCAGCAAACCTAAATGGGTAGCTCTCCAAAATGTATCCCTGTTTGGGGCCCTCATTCATGGGTGCCCGGCTAGACCGGGGGCCCAACAAAAACGACCCCAATGTGGAGAACTACCCGTATATGAAGGGTTTACATCTCACCAATACCAATAACATAAACCTCTTGGCTGCACTCAGGAGGGTAGCAAGAAACTAAACTTTTAGCTGCCTTAATAAGAAACCCAATAAATCCAAAAAAGGTAAGGATCTAAAGTTACAGTAAAGCACCACAAAGAACCCTGCTTCATATGTTGAGGCCGGGCGACGACGGAGCGGAGCGGCCAGGCAAGGACCAGGACAGCAACGAGCCTCAGTCGGGGGAGGGTAAGCCTATAAGCCCTCATGGGTTTAGGGTTTAGGGTTTATTAGGGTTTAGGGTTTAGGGTTTGGGGTTTAGGGTTTCGGGTTACCCAGAAGTTCATGGCTGCGAGGTTGGGAAGCCAAGGCTTTCTAGTAGCTTCTCGAAGGTTTTTGGGATGAGGGGCCCCTCCGCCTGTGAAGACGAAGGGGAAGAATCCCCCAAACCCTGGAGCCCTTCAAAACGACCACCTCTTCCGCCCTAAGACTGGATGCCCTCCGAGCTCACACCCCCACAACCCTAAGGCCTCTTGCTCGCCCCCGAAACTAGGCGGAGGTTTTTTTTCCTTAGGTCTGGCTCTGCTCTCTTTTTGTTTCCTAGGTCTGGCTCGACACCTGGGCGGTCGACGGGCTGTAAATACTGTAATTTGTAGGGTTTGGCGCGTTTGGAGCTCCTGAATCATTGCAAACACCGCAGCGAAACCTGTCAATCATGGTGTTTATGAACGTTCGCCTGCTAAACAATGCACAAATTCCCAGCAATTACAGCATTCACGGGCTTTTAATGCGCCGTAAATACTGCAATTTGCAGTGCTTTTTTGCGTTTCGAGCTCCAAGAATCATTGCAGAGACTGCAGAAAAAACCTGTAAATCATGGTATTTCTGTACGTTCGTCCTGCTTGACAGTGGGCCAAATCCTAGTTCACGGGCTTTTCATACGCTGTAAATACTGCAATTTGCAGTGATTTCCGTGTTTCGAGGTCCTGAATCATTGCAAAACTGCAGAAAAATTGTAGATCATTGTATTTCTGTACGTTCGACTGCTCGACAGTGTGCAAAATCCTAGCAATTACAGCATGCACGGGCTTTTGACACGCTTTACATACTATCATTTGCATCAAGCTACTGACTCGATCGCATGGGTTTTGAAAAGACTCATACTATTCTTTGAAGCAAGGTTGCATGGCCTAAATCAAGCGGGGGGGGGTTGGGGGTGGCGCAGCCCCGCCCCCATTTGCAAGCACAATGATCGCATGATGGGTGTAAAAGAACTCCAAGACTCATATGATTCGAGGCAAGCTTGCACGGATTAAAAGAAGCGGGGGGGTTGGGGGGGGCGCAGCCCCCCCCCATCTGCAAACACAATGATCGCAGCCGCCGCCCCCCCCGCCTTCCTCCATTTGCAAACACAATGATCGCATGATGGGTTTTAAAAAAGATTCATTTGCTTTGAGCTAGCTTGCATGGCTGAAAGCAAGCGTGCGGGGGGGGGGGGGGGGGGTTGAGGGGGGGTGCAGCCCCCCCAATTGCAAACACAATGATCGCATGATGGGCTTCGAACGTTAAAAAGACTCATATGATTTAAGGCAAGCTGGCACGGCTAAAAAAACATTTGCAAAAACAATGATCGCATGATGGGCTTTTAAAAGGTTCATATGCTGTGAAGCAAGCTAGGACCAGAGGACCACGGGACCAGAGGACCACGGGACCAGAGGACCACGGGACCAGAGGACCACGGGACCAGAGGACCAGAGGACCACACGACCAGCCAGACCTAAGAAAGGGACAAAAGGAGAGCCAGACCTAAGAACCACCGGACCCCCGACACTAAGACCAACCAGAAAGGAAAAGGAGCCCTACTGCAGCACCCTAAACCCTAACCCTGAACCCTAAACCCGAAACCCGAAACCCCGAAACCCGGACACCCCGAAAAAGAAGATGGCTCCCAAGCGCTTCCACGGCACAGCGCCAGAGCCAATCCCAGCTGCCTCGGGCGCAGAGTCCGGAGGCTTTTGGGGGTTTAGGGGGTTTACGGGAGTTCAGGGTTTGGGGCTTAGGGGAGTTTAGGGTTTCGGGTTTAGGTGTTATAAAGGGCTTGGGGCTTAGGGGGAGTTTCGGTCAAAAGGGTTTTGGTATTTCGTGGGGGGCGGTGTTAGGGGCGAGGGGTCTAAGGGGCAACTTTTTGGGCATTAGGGGCTTTAGGGCTTGCAGATGTTCATCATTCGAGTCTTCAGTCGCATACACACGTGTTTAGGGGTTAGGGTTTAGGGTTTAGGGTTTAGGGATTGGGGATTGGGGATTTGTGCTTTGCTTTGGGGAGGGGGGGTCTCAAGGGGGCGGAGGACCTCCGATCGCGAAGGCTTTGGGATGTCCTGGGCTCAGGGATTTGTCTGGCTCATGGATGGGGATGTATGAAGGGTTTAGGGTTTAGGGTTTAGGGTTTAGGGTTTAGGGTTTAGGGTTTTGTATTTAGGTTTAGGGTCTCGGGTTAAGGTTTAGTTCGGTTTAGGGCGCCTTTGGTGCTATATCGCAATCGCCGAAGGAGCGCAGCCACATGCCGATGATAATGAGGAGGACGCTTTGAAGCACGAGCCTTCGCGGAGATCTGGGTGTAGGGGTTTAGAGCGTTTGGTTGGGATGTTGTCCCCGGAAGCTAGCAGTCCTTCATAGGAATTCTGACATAGGGGGTACTATGACCCGTTAAACATCCCAAGCTGTACGGCGGTTGCTGAAGGGAGACGCCCGACGTGTTTTCATCGGAGGTTTCAAACTCCACAGGGAAGATGTTGGTAGCTGCTCGGCCCCTGCTGTAAAGGGTTTAGGGTTTAGGGTTTAGGGATTAGGGTTTAGGGTTTAGGGTTTAGGGTTTAGGGTTTAGGGTTGATGGGCGGTACTAGGAAAATGCCCGACAAAAGATCCGGGGGATGTGCATGGAGGACACTAATACCCTGAACCCTAAACCCTAAACCCTAAACCCTAAACCCTAAACCCTGAACTCCCTGAACCCTAAACCCTAAACCCTAAACCCTAAACCCTAAACCCTAAACCCTAACCCTGAACCCTGAACCCTAAACCCCAAACGCCCCATGGAGCCGGCGAGTTCTGCTGAGATGCCAGAAGATGAGCATCGCCAGCAGCGGCTGCAATCGCAACTGCATCCTGCCGTGTCCTTCAATTCATAGGATCCTAATCCCTAAACTCTAAACCCTAAACCCTAAACCCTAAAACCTAAAACCCTAAACCCTAAACCCTAAACCCTAAACCCTAAACCCTAAACCCAGGTTTCTTAAGGGAGGGGGCTCAATGGGGGTGCAGGCACCTAGAAAACCTTAGGGAGGCTTCGGGAGCCTTTGGGAGTGGTGGGGAGTATTTTTGAACACCCCCCTTCAGAATTCAGGGTTTAGGGGTTTAGGGTTTAGGGTTTACGGTTCAGGGTTACATAACCCCCCCCCCCCCCCTTGAACCCCCCTCCCTGTAATGTCCTGCTGCTTATGATCACCTGGCTGACGATCCGAGACGCTATCTTCTTTTAAACTTTGAACAAACCCTAAACCCTAAACTCCTAAACCCTAAACCCCAGTAGGGTGTGCTGCCACTGGATGTGAATTCAGAAACACCTCTGAAACAGAAGTGCGAGCTGAAATCGAAACGGCCCTTTAAAAAGCCAGGGGAGGGATAAGGCTTAGGGTTTGCAGGGCTTGCCAAACCTTTGGGATTTAGGGTTCAGGGTTCTTGGGGTTTGTATGTAGGACCTTTAGGGTCTATGTGAGTATTCTCTTTCGGGTAGCAGTAGTAGTAGTAATTGCAGTACTAATAGTAGCAGTAGTACTACTTTACTAGTACTAGTGCTAGTAGTACTAGTACTAGTACTGGTACTGGAACTAGTACGCGTACTAGTACTAGTAGTACTACTAGTACTACTAGTACTACTAGTACTAGTACTACTATTACTAGTACTAGGGCTCTGGTTGAAATGGAAAAGCCTTTTCCATTCCAACAATTTTTTCCCATTTTGAAATGGAAAAAAACTGTTGAAATGGAAAATCGGGCCTGGGGGGAAAAGCCCCAAGCAATTGAAATGGTTGAAATGGTTGAAATGGTTGAAATGGTTGAAATGGTTGAAATGGAAAAGGCTTTTCCATTTCAACCATTTTTTCCCATTTTGAAATGGAAAAAAAAGGTTGAAATGGAAAAGCCTTTTCCATTTCAACCATTTTTTCCATTTCAAAATGGCAAAAAAATGGTTGAAATGGAAAATCGGGCCTGGTGGGAAAAGCCCCAAGCAATTGAAATGGTTGAAATGGTTGAAATGGTTGAAATGGTTGAAATGGAAAAGGCTTTTCCATTTCAACCATTTTTTCCCATTTTGAAATGGAAAAAATGGTTGAAATGGAAAAGCCTTTTCCATTTCAACCATGTTTTTCCATTTTAAAATGGCAAAAAATGGTTGAAATGGAAAATCGGGCCTGGGGGGAAAAGCCCCAAGCAATTGAAATGGTTGAAATGGGTGAAATGGAAAAGCCTTTTCCATTTCAACCATTTTTTACCATTTTGAAATGTGAGAAAATGGTTGAAATGGAAACAAAATGGGAAAAATGCTAAAAATGGAAAAGGCTTTTCCATTTCAACCATTTTTTACCATTTTGAAATGGAAAGAAATGGTTGAAATGGAAAAGCCTTTTCCATTTCAACCATTTCAACCATTTCAACCATTTCAACCATTTCAACCATTTCAATTGCTTGGGGCCTTTCCCCCAAGGCCCGATTCTCCATTTCAACCATTTTTTGCCATTTTGAAAGGAAAAAAATGGTTGAAATGGAAAAGGCTTTTCCATTTCAACCTTTTTTTTCCATTTCAAAATGGGAAAAAATGGTTGAAATGGAAAAGCCTTTTCCATTCCAACCATTTCAACCATTTCAACCATTTCAACCATTTCAACCATTTCAACCATTTCAATTGCTTGGGGCTTTTCCCCCCAGGCCCGATTTTCCATTTCAACCTTTTTTTCCATTTTAAAATGGCAAAAATGGTTGAAATGGAAAAGCCTTTTCCATTGCAACCATTTTTTCCATTTTAAAATGGTAAAAAATGGTTGAAATGGAAAAGCCTTTTCCATTTCAACCATTTCAACCATTTTAATTGCTTGGGGCTTTTCCCCCATGGCCCGATTTTCCATTTCAACCATTTTTTGCTATTTTAAAATGACAAAAAATGGTTGAAATGGAAACGC